AAATAGAGAAAAATAGATAGAAAAAAAAGTGAATAAAATAAAAAGAAAAAGTGGGGAAAGAATGTGATATAACAGATAATATCTTTTTTGTTTGTTCATTTGATTGTTGGTTGGCATTTTAATTTAGAAATGATCCTGTGAACCTCAATGAAGGAATCTTGAGCTTCAAGAACACTTAGTAGTTTGTTTTTAATTCTGAGCTTGAATGATTTCTTTGGTAGTTCTAAAAGTGGTAATGATTTCATCAGTGCATATTGCTTTGCTGGTAATTGAACATAATGGTCAGGTGACTATCATGTGACTTAATTCAAGACTCAAAGGCAATGGTTAATTTGTTGTTGTATTAAAAAAGCAAAACACTAGGCATAGTAGTCCCAGGAGGCAAAAAAAAAAATTGGTATTTTGCATCAGCCTGGTTTCCATGTAAGGACCTGGTATGCCATATTTTTGACATACCCATTCCATGGTTCTGGAAGAAAATTTGGCATGGCTCCATATCAGGAAATATTTGTCTTATAGAGGTTAGTAACCCTGCCAAGTTTGATGCTTTTATCAAAAATGGAACAATTTTGTCCCTTAACAGCTGGACTAGTGGAATTATTGAAGGCTTTTGTGCCAAAATGGCGTATATGGCATTTTGGGCCGATTTTTATTTTTTGCAGGATCAAGCCAATGTTTGGCAGACTGACTTGTTTTGACATGAAAAGCATCGTTGCATAATTGTTTTTGTTGATTTGCGCTTCGTTTTTGAAAAATAACGTATGCAAAAAAACTCAGTTTTCTGAGCGGCATCTTTTACGCAATGATACTTTTCATGTCAAAACAAGTCAGTCTGCCAAAAATTAGCTCAATCCTGCAAAAAATAAAAATCTGCCCAAAATGCTCTACATGTATACGCCCTTTTTGCAAGCCTTCAATTGTTTTATTGAAAACGTCTACAAAATATAGAAAACTAAATTAAACTAAATCTAAAAACACCCCAAAAGATTACACATAATTTTATGCTTACCATATTTGTAGAGCATGGTATAATGGCTCATATACCATGATGGCTATGCCAATGAAAAGTCTTGAATTGCATTATTCAATGAAGATCCAGTTTCTAATAATGCTAATATTTCATGACTAGTTCAAATTTCTGCATGCAATTTGAAACAAAGCGAAATGATTGGATATTAATTATTATTTTTGCAATTTCCTAGGTGACAATTAGGCTAATTAAACCCTAAGGGAGTAGTCAATGTGTAATTAATACAGACCAACATTATTGCTGCAATTGAAGTCAATTCAAGCATTTAGGGTTTTTAAATGAATGTAAGTATTCCAAGTCAAGAATACAGGCATAATTCTTTAGTTTTAATAGTTACGGTGGTTAATTATGAACACTCTTACTAAGAATTCCTTTCCCATGGCAACTCACTCTTTTCCAGTCTGATTTCAATATTTTAGTGATTTTCAGCTCAAAAAACATTAAACAAGGCCAGGAACTCAACTTAATAAATTTATATGCTTACTGTATCATGGAGATGAGGCACCATTGGCAAATATCAATTGAAAATGGAATGCCAAAGGTGGCCATAAAAGCTAATAATATCAGGGGGGTCTGGAACCCAGTATGATGCCATGGTAACAAAACTGTTAGGCTCACATTGTGGAGCACACCTAGTAGAATCTTTCTGCAAAAAATCAGATATTTCTGATGCAAGTAATTAGCTGAGATATCTTTCTTCGTCATGTTTGATCAAATTAAAATTTGGTTGAGTTTATGACATCATCACTTGTTTGCATATTTTAAAAACTTGAATATCTCTGGTATGAAAAGAGAGATTTGAAAATAGTAAAACAGCATTTTTTTTTTCTCGTACAGACAGCTTGTTTATGTTTTAAAATGGCTTAGGAAAGATGGAAATTTCATCATAATGGCACTTTAAAGGGACACATTGTTGTCATAGGTTTTAGGTTCCACAAAGGTGGGACCATGATCATAACTATCATTATGATAATTAATTCTACCTAGATCTATATACACTGTACAGTCAAACCTCCTGTAAGCGTTTACCCAAACATCAAGCCTAGGTAGTTGCTTACAAGAACTTAGACCATATTGGGTCAAACTGTTGCCTCACTAAAGACTGACAGAGTGCAGTGTATGTGTATTTTCTCATTAAATTTTTAACTGTTTTTACTTGCGGAAAGTCAATTTTGAGAAAAAACTCCTGTTTTTCCCATCGAGAATTTCTGTCTCTTGTACAACCCAGGAATGCAATAATATAAATTTATAACACCTTATTATCCAATCGCCGCTCAATTATCTGTCAAATGGTAATTGTTTACGAGAGGTTAAAAACAAAAGAAAATTTCAAACTTTTAGTTCTAAAAGTGGTCGCGGTTGCTTACAAGAGATGGTCGTTCACAAGACATCCCACATATAGTGATTTGACTGGGAAACTTTTGGTATTTTGGAAAACTGGTCGCTGAGGAGAGGTGGTCAGTTACAAGAGGTGGTGGCAACTGGAGGTTTGACTGTGCATGTATTTATTATCTACAAATGGATTAACCATCACCACAGTTATGAAAGGAAAAAAAAAACAGGAAATAAATGTCACTAATTCACTATTGGGTTAAAAAAGAGATGACACTGGCCCTTACAAACACGGTGAACAACAGCGTGTTTGATTTCAAATTTTGACAGTGCTGCAAATCATAATGTACCTCTAAGAGTATAGTTGCCACAAAATGAATATTTTATAAATATTTAATTTCTAGTCTTGGATGACAGTACATGACTCAGAGCTGGCTATAGAGTCATCTATTAGTTATCAATAACATATTTTTGATATTCTTCTTATACATGTAGGGAAAAAATAAATATAACAACTTTTAACCATTATAATATCCTTCAAAAAGGATGCTTGTACAATTCAGGAGTCTTTATCAATGCTCTCAAGAAGCAGTTGACAGGATTATATCCAATGAAATTAAGCATACTCTGTTGAAAGCTGTTTAAACATATAATTTGCTTTGATCATCTCCCATCATGTTTCTCAATTCTTTAAAAATATGCAACACAGTCTAAACCTCTGAGATTAGATGACCTTAAGAACAAGGTTATTAGATCAGTAAACTTGGATAGTGCCTCGTCTCCCCTCTGCCTAAAAAGTGATCACAAAGTGAAGGATGCTGCATTACATGTAGTTTGAAGTGGAAACATCCAATCAGTTTGAAGGTCTTGTGCATTAATGGAAGTAACATAGTGGTAATACATTGTTTATGGTGACTGCAGCTTTAACTACTCTGTGCCTGTGTCATCAAATGTGACTTTTGTGATGACTTAAACATTACTTATTCTTTTTCAGAAAACATTGCACATGCCTGAGTCATGGCATCGCCAGATGAGGCAGTAGTCAAGAAACCTAAAGGTTCTAGAACTGTTGTTTTGCTCAAGAATGATGACTACAGCAGAAAAAATGGCAAAGTGTATATACCAAATACTATTGAAATGGCACAAATTAAAAAGCCAATCCGGGGACAATATAAGAAGTATGTCCAGTTTTCCAAAAACATGGATGAGGATATGGTGAAGCATCAACTGCAGGAGGCATTTCCTACCTTTGACTTAATGAATGGGAGGTATGGAAATTTTTGATAGGATGTAGTCTCTTGGTTAATTAACTCTTGGGTTAAATACATGTTGGACCCTGAATATTCTNATGGCAAAGTGTATATACCAAATACTATTGAAATGGCACAAATTAAAAAGCCAATCCGGGGACAATATAATAAGTATGTCCAGTTTTCCAAAAACATGGATGAGGATATGGTGAAGCGTCAACTGCAAGAGGCATTTCCTACCTTTGACTTAATGAATGGGAGGTATGGAAATTTTTGATAGGATGTAGTCTAGCTCTTGGTTAATTGACTGTTGGGTTTAAAATACATGTTGGACCCTGTTAATATTCTCATATAAGTGGTGGTAGTCACTGCTGTAGCACATTCAGTTTTTTGGGGGAATTGCAGAAAGAGCTGCCTAATTTAATTTTTACCGATTTTTTAAAAAAAATCACTTCATCAGAAAGGTGAAAAAATTACAGTTGTGTGTGGCTGTTGTATTTGTTCAATTTGCTTAGTATTAGAGAAACTGAGCAGACTGAAGTGAATTTATAATGTAAAACAGTGCGCAGTAACAACAGTTGAAGCCTGGGAGTTAATTAGCTCATGCTTGAATAAATGTTAGTAAAGAAAAACTTGTATTCATGCAATTTTGGCAAACAGTCTTCTAAATAGAATTTATTGCACAAGAGAATTATGTTACTAAATGTGTGTATTTGTACTTAATTTTATAAGATGAAAGTAAAAATGGGTAACTTTTGTTTTCTTGAATGAAGGTTTTCTTGCGCAGCTGTCAGTCAGGATTGTAACACATTTCAGTTCCATGGTACCCCTCGTGTATGGGATGGAGAGACAATTAAAAGAAAGATAAAAGGGAATTCAGTCCTCTACATTGTTATGGAGGGTGATCAGGTATGTTTGAAATATTGACATCTATAGTACTAAATAGAATTATTATAGTACGAAATAGAATTATTATAGTACTAAATAGAATTATTATAGCAGGGTCCGAAATTGCGCTTTCCTGGTCGCCAATGAGACTAAAAATTTTGCACTGGCGACCAGAATTTCACAACTGGTCGCCAGTGGGCGATTAACTATTTCATGCCACGATAATTATACAAACAATAACTTTGANTTGTCAGCCAAATCAGTTGAAATAAAATTCAAAGCCACCCGCCAATTGACCACTTCCTTTTTACCTTTCCGCTGCTTTTGAAGTATAAAACCGATTTTCCTGTTATTATAAATCTACCACAACGTCTCACAGCAACGATCAGTGCGAAGCTTCGCTGCCATGTTTTTTTCAGCGGTTTCCCATAACATACGTATTGCGGGTGCAAAAGGCCACGTGCATTCTTTCGCCAGAATATTTATCCAGGCGATGTGGTGTCCAAAGATGTTCTGAAATCTTTCCGTAATTTATTACAAGGTAGAGACGGAACATCTGCGAAGAAATTAGATGAAGATTTAGATATTCTCTGGGCGTCAAAAGGTGGAAATGTAGATGTGTCAAAGTGGTCAAAAGATGATTTCAGCACTGGTTTGATTCCTGATTACATCGCTTGCAAATATTTTGCCGGCAAGCCTGTGGTGACCAAAAATTNCGGAACATCTGCGAAGAAATTAGATGAAGATTTAGATATTCTCTGGGCGTCAAAAGGTGGAAATGTAGATGTGTCAAAGTGGTCAAAAGATGATTTCAGCACTGGTTTGATTCCTGATTACATCGCTTGCAAATATTTTGCCGGCAAGCCTGTGGTGACCAAAAATTTTGTTTTGTGTTTCGCTGCAAAGAAAAAATTTTATTGACACTTTTTGGCGACCACATTTTTCCATTTGGGGACTGAAAAAAAATTTCAGTTGCCAGTTGGCGCCTGCCGAAAAAAGTTAATTTCGGGCCCTGTATAGTACTAAAAGTACTAAATAGAATTATTATTAAAACAATTGACTGTCTGTCATCATAAAGGTTGCCATATACCAATTGTGCGTGAGTCAATGTCGGTCTCAATAATTTTTAAAACTGGCAATATTCTCATCTTCCCAGTATACTCAAGAGCTTCATTGTATAAGTGGAAACCACAGAGAACAGAGGAGTCCTATTTGACTGTATTTCCAGTCAAATTCACCGTACAATTGTAGCATGAATCAATCTGTTGTTGATTCAAATCACTGCATGTGAGCAAACTGTAAGCATGGGATTGTATTACGCGTCTGTTGATATCCTATATGGTCAAATAGGACTCCTCTGCTCCCTGTGTGGAAACTAACTGTTTTTAGCGTTTTGCCTAAATTATTAAACAAATAGAAGATTAAAAGAAACGATGAGAAAACTGTACTTGTAAACGTTTTGCCCAAATCACTAAACGAAGACTAGATGTTTGTAAACAGATAAAAAAAGTGTTTAAACTCTTTACATGATCTGTTTCAAACAGATACTAAACGGATAGTAAACGGTTTCTACCGTTAAACAGTTAAGCATTGGTGTCCGTTTTTGCTGTGGCTACTCTCCGATTGGATAATTGAATAAAGTTTTCCCTGGTTTTCTGACCTAGTATCCTGGTTCCATACTTCATGCTATTAAATAATTAACACTTGCATACCTGGCAATAATCATTCGCTCTATTCACAACTTTTCTTGGAGCTTCTACACTATTCACAGATTCATAGATTCATAGATTCATAACGATCTCCATATGTAACATGTAATGTCATGTTTATTTACATTTCCTTAGTTTCCATTGTTTAGTTATTTGATACTTGATGCATGACATTAGTTGACACCTATTTATTGCTCCCCAAGGGGCAGAAATTGAAATTCAATGGCTTTTTGCGACACACCTGTATGTCTCCTGTCTCTTGTCTCTTGTAGCTTTGCTGCTCGTGCCCCAGCCCAAACACAAGAGCCTGCTCACAGGCTATTATAATAATTCAATTGTGTCCCTAAAAAGGCGGACAATTTTAAGTAGTGTTTTCAATGCCTGGCTACGGCCTGTACTACCTCTGTCTAATGTCCAGTTTTAGTTTTGCAATGTTTCTTCTCCTTGTTGTTTTGTCAGGTACCTCAACAGTCGCAACTTTATACAGCCACTGAAGGTTGTGGTAGCTCCACAGGTAAATAAATGTTGATGACTTTACTTGAATTACTCTTTGCAATATGCAGTGTGTAAATCTCCACACAACATAAAAATGTTAACTTATCGGTCCCATCAGGAACACCTACTTTGCATGTACAGTGCAGGTTGGCAAGGGAAAATAATAAGATCAAAAAAATTAATTAAGATTAAATATTAAACAAAAATCTTGCCAAGCTGGGCACAATGTTATTGTACAGCTGTCCATATTTTATTCTGTCATGACTGCAATAGTATTAAAGAACGCTGTAGTAGTGAAACCTGGGAATTATCACTTTGAGCTAGAAGTTTTTACATCCCTTAATTATTGTTCTGAAGTGACTGGAAAAAAAGAACTATGTGGACACTGTCAACTTGTAAGGAATGGAATTTTTTTCAAAACAAATTAGGTATGTCTGCTGAAACCTGGGATCCACTAGAAACACGAAACTACTGCAAGAAATCAAAGAAAAAACATGCAATATGCCACAAGTTACTAGTTGAAACCAGGATTCTTCCTGCTGGGACCATGGTTTGAATTCTATAGATTTATTGGTGATACAATGAATCATAGTTTTGTGTGTGTGTATGTGTCTGTGTGTGTGTGTGTGTGTGTTTTCGTTTCTTAATTTATTACTCCCACTGATAAAAAATGGTTTTTCGTCCACAGAAGAGTACATGCCATACATATATATCCTATTAACTAAGAGCGAAGGCCTTACTGGGAGAATATTGGCCCGAGGTTAGTGAGGTTCATACAAAAAAGACCAAGGGTTGATATTCTCCTAGTATGGTCCTGAACAAGCTTGGTTAATTAGAGATTTATTACATGACTGTAACTACCCAAAAATCTTCAAGATATTGTAGAATGGGACAATCAGATCATAAATCCATTTTACAGATGCATGTGTGAATCCAGTTAACAACACTATACATCAAACAAAAGATCAGACCAACCCTATGAATCTACATGTGTCTTTCAATGGTGAACTGATGCCCTTCCATGAACCAGCTGCCTTAGATAAAGATATTGGAGAGGTAATAATGATAATATGGTATAATATGGTAATATGATATAATCTCTTGTTTAATTGATTTTTCTTTGTTGGCTTTGTCTTGTCAATTCAAAAGCAATGATGTTTTCTGACATTAGAGAATTTTTTGTAACACCTCAACAATTTTTTAATTATAAATACGAAAGAACCGTAAACACCAGTGGATAAGCCACACTTGAAGATAAGCCACATCCCAAGTTTGGCAACTCAAATTTTGGAATAACAATATTGAAGTATCTCACTGTTTTTTCTTTTTTCTTTTTTTTCTTTTTCTTTTTTTTTTTTCAGACACCTTGTATTGTTGCCGAGACTGAAATGGAAGTGGATGACAGCCAACAAGGTACATGCAATGATCCTTGTAGAAACAGGCGGTTGTGAGTGCAAGGACTCGCATGGCCAAAAAAGTGGAACAACCATTAGTCCAAGTGTTAGATAGAGAGTCTCAAACCCCTACAGTGTATATTCAAGTCCTGTACATGTATGTGTTTGAAAAGCACCATTAGTGGCTTTATTCTGCCAGCTCTGTTACACTTTTTCTGCAGGCTTCCTCAAACTGTTTCCATCTGAGGGCCTTTGAAGAACCATTTGTTGTTCCTGAATCCTATAGAATCGAAGGAGCATAGTATTTTTTTTTGCACTTGGCTTCCTTGCTTATTTCGCTGGATTTTTTAGCTTTTTGCCAAGTCTGTCATTGTTCATTTAAAAAACTGAAGTTTGGAAAATGGAGATACATGAGCTTGATCAATTGATGCAACAAATGGACGTCTCTGTACAAATGTATAGCTTTCTCGAAGTAAAGCCATGGCAGTCTCTGAAGAAAAAGTGTACAAAGATATGATATCCGTGATCTCATGATAAGATGCAATGTACTGCACTTGACAGTTCTGCTGAATCAACCAGTGGGGCAGCACAATCAATGTGCACAATACATGTTCATGAAATTAAAGATGTCAAAGTTTTTCCCTCGAAAGCCAATACTTTGAGACTTTGAAACATATCATGCAATAGAAATTAGCCGGTACAAAGTGTAAGCACATGGCAAATTTTAAGGTATCATGGTAGGTGGATTTTTACGAAAAATGCGAAAAATCTTTTTTTTGGCTGTTCAAATTGAGAAGACTGAGATAAACATTTTGCAAAAAAAATTGGGGAAAAGGCTTTTTTGCTTTTTAAGATAAAGAAAAAAGATTTTTTTGAATATCGTTAACCCCTTATGGTACGTTAACACCTCTAATTAAAATTCACCACCAGTTGTCACATGTAATGAGAATTGCGGTATGATGTTTCATTTGTACACGCGAACTGTTCTCGATCTGGTTGTTTGATCGCAAGTTAGCTTTCATTCTTGGCAAATTTTCTTTATGTCAGGACAAAAACGCAAGAAAAGTTCTTGCCCATTTTCGTCTTCGAAGAAGCCAATTAGAGACAAAAATCTGGTGGAACCCACAGGTTCAGCATCGAACAAGATCTTTGGCTCTGAGTGACCGTGGGTCGCACTGTAACCAAGAAGAATGGCTGAAGGAACCCGAGGACACTAGTTCTGCCAATGAAGCTAAAGGACAAAATACAACAAGTGCTAGTCGCATGAAATTGCCGGAAAACAGACGCGATTCCGAAACTTCCACAAGAGAGTCAAGTGCAGATGTAGATGTAGACAAATATGTAGACCTCGAGATTTCCTCTTTTTGGCTTCATGAGGCATGGTTTCAAAAAATGTCTGGAGAATAAAGAAGCCTAATTTACTTAAGCAGCATAATACCAATGCTGCCGACAAAATCTTTTAAGTAAAAGAAATCACAGCACTTTAACTTGTAGTTTGTCGCTTCTTGGATGATTTCACTGCAGCAGGTTTCTGCACCAGAATTGTAGTTGTCTGTTTATTTCAAGTTGTCATAACCCATTGTTGTAGTAAACTGACCCATGCTGACATCTGTCAGTGCGGACGAGATTTTTAACACCTATTCAAACCAGTTTCATACAAGGTTTTTCATCTTTTTCTCGATAAAATAAAACTGCATACCAGGATGAACATTTTTAGTTCGTTTACGCGCGTCTTCCGATGGAATTAGCTGAAAATGGGCAGGTATGTTCCGGGATACCTCCTTCGAAAAAGGGTGTCGGGCTTTGTTTAATTTCGCCTCCATTTCAAAGCTATGGCCTCTTTAGTAGAAAGAAATGTCCGCATTGAAAATATCAAAGTTTAGGAGGGTGTAGAAAAAAAAA